GGCCGCCCAACCTCTCTCTTAGGGATTCGTCCTCTTACACCGTAGGGTTTCCCCGCGCCTCTCCCAACAAACCGCAGGCCGCCCAGAGGCGCCGTTCTTGCACATTTTTAGGAAGAAAATAAAATAAGGACAACAGTGAAACCACGAAGTGCCGCGTTTTCGGTCGTCCTGATCAGAGACGCTCACAGGGGCTCCTTATTCCCTTCGGCGCGGCCCCACGAACTCGGAAAAGCAGCCAAGGCGCCGCTCGGCGGTGAGTGCGCTCGTCCGGCCGGGCCGGGCTCAGCGCCCGCGGCCTCCTGCGAGCCTGGGCTTCTCCCGAAGAGCCAAGCAGCCACCTGTGGGCGGGCTACGGGCCTCCCCTCGCGCCGCTGCCCTCCTGCACTGAAATCTCCCTCTGCGCTCCGACAGGCGATTGCTTTTCCACGACGGTGCAGGGGTGTGGAGACTGGAGGGCAGGTTTTGTCCAGCAAAGGCAAAGAGGGGCCCCTGGGGCGACAGCCGGAGGGCAGCTTTCCTGCCCCGCACGGGCCAGGCCTCGGACAGGCACAGCGAGGGTCTGTGGGGACGCCAGCGCGCCTCTTTCCCGGGCTCTTCCAGTTCCAAGAGACCAAGCCCATGCTCTGGGCCCCCAAAAAGGCGAGTTTGCGCCTCCGCACAAGCCTCCCCACCGCCCCAGAAGTGGGGCTCCCCACCTCTGCGCCCTTTGCAAGGGTTGAGTCCCCGGTGGGCGGGGCCCAGACTCGGGGATCCCCGGGTTCCCCACCCCACCCCGCCTTGCCAGGCCCAGGCTTCGTTGCCTTCGCCCAGTCACCCTGCCTCCGCGGGGCGCCCTCCCTCCGTGGAGAGCCCCTGCCCCTCTCTGAGCACACAGCTCCCCACCCAGAGCGGTCAGGCTGCAGGAAGCGCCGGGCTCCCGGAGTTCGGGTCATCTCCTGTTTTTTGATGGGCTCCAACTCGGACTAAATGAGCGGATGTGCCTGCGAGATTGGTCTCAAAATAGAAGCGGCCTTAGTATTTTAGGATACTGCAGAAATCCTTATTTCTTCCGGAGAAAAACTCTATAATGACTCCTAGCACTTCCCCTTTCAATATTTGTGCAACTTTATCTCCACCGGCAAGTTGCTCGCGTGACGCAAATCCGCCCCTGTGTATTACAACTACCAAAATAAACGCGCGGAAATCAATTCCCTTCTAGCAATGAAAATATAAATATACAGCTGCGACTTTTCCCTTTAATCTTTGCTTTCCGAGCTGTCCGGGCTGTGGCGAAATGAGCTGCCCAGGGCTCGTGAGTGGGGCAGCAGAGCGCAGTAGGGCCGGGGGAAAGCAGCGCATTAAACCCAGTTAGTTTAATCTGGTCTGCACCACCGCGACCCCAATCGCGGCCGCAGTTTTGGAAGACCCTGCTCCGGCTGGGCTTTCCTCAGACCATTTTTGGCTGCCTTCTGTATCCCTTGCAGTTCCTCCTTTCTTTCTTCCTGGGAAGGCACTGCCAGGTCTGTTTTCCTGCCCTGGGAAGGGTAAGGTCAGAAAAGATCCTCTTATTTAACAGTGCGGGGGGGGGGCGCAGAATTGTAGGCGGAGGAAACCTGAGGCCAGGAGAGATGATCTCAGGGGCCTGGGCAGGAGCCGGCTCTACTCGCCTGGGCTGCCAGGGCCTCCGTCCTTAAAATCCCCAGCACAAATTCTTGTCCTAGGCCAGGGACATAAAAGGTCACGGAGCCCAGGCGCTGGGCTTCTGGGCTTCGCTTGCGACAAGAATGCACCTCTGGGGGTTCTGTGGAGAGTCTGCTGCTGCTGCTGGTCCTCCTTGGAGACCCGGGGAGAAGTAACCAGCAAGGCAGGGGCTCTGTGGGCTTGGACATCCCACCCGCTAATTGTGAATATTATTTCAAACGTGAAACTTATTGGTTTGCAAAAGAGAGAGAGAGAGAGAGAGATGGAAATAAATAATCACAGTCAAAACGAAAAGGAAACACAGCTTACTCAGCTGTTTAAGAATTCAAGAGATTTGCAGCGTTGTAGGAATCTGTGTATATGGTGCCTGTCTTTCTGCCCAGGGAGATTTATGGACCACCGGGCTCAGCACTCACACTTTGGCTCCTTGTGGGTTCTAGACCCTGAGTTTACTGCTCTGGAGACCCCCTGTTGACAACACACACACACACACACACACACACACACACGGGCGTTATTCGCAGTGGACCTCAACTGTCCTTCCCTGAAGACCTCACTGTGGCCCTAAAACTAAATACAGATGCTGAGTTTTTCTAATAGAATTGGGCTTTGGGGCTGGGAGAGCAAATGAGGCAAAGGCCCCCCACCAACCAGGGCACTGGGTTCATTCTTCTAGCTTTTCCTAGTCCAAAGCTCCGCCTGACTCCAGGGTGCCCAGCCCTTTCTGGCCGCAGCCCTGCCCTTGAACTTTAGCCACAGGTCTGGGACCAGAGCTTTAGGCAGCCCTTCAGGTTGGTCTCCATCTCCTCCTTCCTCCCATGGAGTCCCACGTACCACCCCTCTTTCCATGCAGCCAGGAAAGACCTGAAGCCTCAGAAAACCCACTGTAAAAGCCACTGCAGGGCGGCGTACAGCTGCCCCTGAGTCTGCCACGAAATCACGGAGGAAAGCAGGAGAGCCCAGCTGCCCCATGTGAGAGATTAAGTTCCTGTGGCACAGGCCATCCTGATGTCCATAAACCGCTCTCCTGCTCCCAGTGTGTCCGCTACTGGGCTCGTGGAAGCTGGACCTGTGGGCTCAGTGGCTGCAGAGAGAGAAGGAAATGTAGGTTTTTAAAAATCATGTGTTCTGCACAAACCTGGATACGGCAGCCACACCTGTAACTCCAGCGCTTCAGGAAGGCTGAGGAGAGAAGATTGCAGGTTCGAGGCCAGACAGCCTGGATGCTCAGGGAGACCCTGCCTCAGAAGAATAAACTAACAAAAGGGCGGTGGTAGTGTGTGGTTGGTGTGCACTTGCCCCGGGTTCTGTCCTCTCATCAGGAAACAATAGGCCTGGAGTCAAAGCGAAGGCGGAAAGCCACGCCCGGAGCAGCGCGGAGAACTGGAGAGCCGCAGGCTGAGCAGCGGAGAGGGAGCAGCCTAGACCAGAGCCGGGAGTCGGGAGGCTGCAGCGCGAGGGAATCCTGGGCCCTAGGAAAGCGGCCCTGCAGACAAAGCCAAAGGGCTGCCCCTCTCGGGGGTCCCAGCCCCCACCCCCACCCGCTGCCCCAGGA